GATAGACCGATCTGTCTCGTGTAACTCTTCCCTCGGCCTCCCCGCGCTGCATCACCCTGTCTAAGCGTGTGTAGGCTCGCACGAAGTAAGCTAGCCCTGCCGTACAGCCCTTCCTTCTTCCGATGCCGATGCGAGCAAGTCGTACTAGGGGCTGCGGATCTGAGAAATCCCTTGTCATTTTGCATGTTAGGCATCGGACGGGGGCCCTGCGGATGGCTCAGCGTGCGGGGAAGCGTGGATCGAGGGGAGTTGATGTCTGCGCGGGAAGAGAAGGTGCGAGATGAGCTGTCATGTTGTCAGCGCGGTTAACGGCAGGGACGGGAGGCTACGGCGAAGAACTGAGCAGCGGGCGTAGAGAATTAACGGCATTAAGATATGTGGCTCCCACTGTTTGGACGGTTGCTGTCTTTTCAAGCTATTAACCGTCCAGGGGCGCTATGGGATGCCTCGGCGTTGGAGTTTACGCCATGTGAGGTTGCCGTCAAGTTTTCCCTGTTCTCTTGCTGCTGATTCGTGATCAACAAAGCCGATGAGTTGTCAAAGCATAGCTTGGCATGCGTTTTAGGGCCCCAGGCCGACTGTCACGAGGCGGCCCGCTTGTTGTGTGGAAGCACGAGAGGAACCATGCTACAAAAGGACCCGGACATGCTCCGACTCAACCTCTTGACAACGTTCAAATCCATGTGACGTAGTACATCAGGGCCAGAGGGCAAGGCGATGGCTGTACACTTCATGCGTGAGGTACGCTGCCTCGCGCCGAAACTTCGCAGTTGCACTGTCTACATGCAACTCACATGCGAACACATGTCAAAAGAACAAGGATGATCATACGGCGAACCCCGCCCTACTCAATTGATGACATATGTACACAGCCGCATCGCAGCCTTGTGATCACCCAGCACTTTGCCTAGCTCGTCTAGCAACATCCTTCTCCGCTCTGCACCACATACACGGGCCACAGTTCAAGCTTACGCCTGCTTCGCGCCCTCGGCCTTCGAGGGGGGGATGAAGGGCTTGCCCTCGAGGGGGTTGATGGCACCGTCGGCGTAGATCATGTGTTGTCTCAGCTCGACGGGGGTGACACCTGGTCGCTGGTTGGGGATGTTCTTCTCGAGCTTCTGTTGCAAGGGGGAAAAAGAAGGGAGCATCTGGTCAGCCGGGTTCACCGGAGTGTTCGCATCGGCGTGCGACGGGGATTGTACGTACGAGGTTCTCAAAGACACATTTGTTCAGCTTCCACTCCTGCGGGCGGCACTGATACAGCTGGTGGTTACGGTTCTCGAGGCAGTTCCAGTGGGCGCGGAAGGACTCGAGGCAGTGGGTGTTGATGTCCTGGAGGCTGTGGCCGTTTGTCAGCGCCATCACATTTCTCTCATGCCCACACGGCGACGAGAGCCTGCCCCGATGGCGGGTCAATAGACGTACACGCTCTGAGCACACCTCGTCACCCTGCGGCCCTCCTTCATGCAGTCGAACTCGCCGCGGCCCGCCGAGTCGGTCTTGCACTGCATGTAGTCGTCATTGTAGTCGCGGCACCGGGCGCCTATGAAGAAAGACGCGGAGAGAAGGGGCGCAGAACTCGCACCGACCTCCTGGACCTTGGGAATCGAGGCCGGGAGGGGCGTGGTGTCGTAGTGGACCTGCTCGTTGAACCTGGGGGAAGACACTGGGTTAGCTCCCTGCTGTCGCTGCTGCGCACCAATGCATCGGCCGAGCCGTCCAATTGAGGAGACGCGTCGTTCTTGGGGAGAGTCAAACGTACTGAGGACGTCGGGTCGACATGGTTGCGGCGTTTGGGGTGATCGTGTCGTCGTGGTGATGGTACGGGAGCAAGATCTCGACGTTGAATGCCGAATTGATGTGAGGTCAGAATCAGCGGCGCTTGATTGGTCCGTGTGGGCCAAGGCTGGCAGGCCTGGTGCCATTCTCGGTCAGTGCTCGGTGAGGCACGGTCCCTGGGAGCCTGGAGAGCTCAAGCTCCAATCATTATTTTCGCGTCGCCAGTACCTGTACCGTCCACTCGGCCATCGAGTTCGAGCTGCAGCTCCAACGTTCCCCACGGCGACCACTCTGTCCCATTCGACGGTTGCGAGAGAAAAAAAACGAACTCATTGACGCACTCTCCTTTCGAGTGAGCTTCGTCACGCCGGTCAGGCAGCAATTGAGTCGAATGTTGTTTTCCCCGACGTCCTCAGCGCAAACAACATTCCGCTCCGACAAACCCCACAGTCGTATCCTTGTCCTCATCACCCGTCCATCGACGGCTTTGCCTCGATTATCTAGCCATCAGCACGCATCCGAGCCGCAATGAGCTTGTTTGGGAAGCCCGCAGGGCAAACTGGCGGCTTGTTTGGTGCAAGCACATTCGGCCAGTCCCAGCAACAACAACAACCGCAACAGCAACAGCAAGCCGCGCCGACCCTCAGCCTGTTCGGTGGCCAACAGAACCAGACAAATCAGCAGCAGAATCAGGGCACCTCGAGTCTTTTTGGAGGATCTTTTGCGCAGCCCCAGCAGCAGCAGCAGCAGCAGCAACAGCAAGTTCAACAGTCACAGCAGCAGCAAATGCCGAGCCTAGCACAGTCGCAAGCCCAGCTGTCGAGCTCCCTCTGGCAACCGGGCAGTGAAACACCACGTACGTCGCGCACATTCACTCTATCGCATTCCTACATGACAAAATTTCGAGACTAACGTACATCCCTTGCGCCTTGCAGAAAACCAGAAGCCCCCGATGGAACAGATCGCAACCACGTTTCGCAAATGGCATCCTGGCGACCCCAGCTGCGTGTTCCGCCACTACTTCTACAACAAGGTCGATAACGCCGCCGTTCCCTTCTACCAGCCCGGCCCCAACGAAGACCCCAAGGAGTGGGAGGAGGCCCTGCAGCGCAAGCCTGGCCAGGGCTATATCCCCGTCCTCGGCGCCGGCTTCTCGGGTGTCGCCGACCGCCTGCAAACGCAGAAGCGCGTGGTTGGCGAACATAACGTCCGCCTGCACCAGATCAATGCTAGTCTCGATGCCATCCTCTCGCGACATGATCTCGAGACGAGCGTGCGGGCGCTGGCGGCGCGGAGGCGACACGTCGCACTGCGGGAGCGCTGCCTCGCGCTGGCAGCCCGCGTCCAGGTGCTGCGGAATCGTGGCTACGCCCTTAGCGGCGACGAGGATGACCTGCGGCTGAAGCTTGTGGAATTGGACCGCGCAGTGCAAGACCCGGCGCTGAGCGCGAGGGAGGAGGAGCTGTGGAGCAGGCTTATTGTGCTGCGTGGGTACGCGGACCAGTTGATGAAAGAAGTCAACAAACCGGCTGCCACGAATGGAGAGTCGTTGAGCGAGGAGACGGAGCTGAAGGTCAAGAAGGTACGTACGAAGCTCAGATTACGGGTTTAGGAAGCTGGCTAACGAATATTTCAGGTTCTCGAAGACTACGAGAAGCAGATCCAACACCTCAAAAAGGAGGTTGAGTCGATCACGAAAGACTTTCAAGAGTGGGAGAGCGATGGTGCTGCGCGGTAGGATAGCGCAGTCAACCAGTGACGAATCGTGGTGAGCGGACAGGACGTGGCATGGCTGTCACACAAGGCATGGACAAGGGGCGAGTGGGCAGAAATACACCGCAATGGTATCATCGGCGCCCAACAGGGTTCACTGCACAATGCTCAGGGGAATACATCGGAATCGAGGTGTGAAGTTTTCATGTCGTGAGATGGTAGCTGGCTTGAAGCCTCGCTACAGCTGGGCCTCGGAGGCCGCGTGCTTGATTATGGTACAAAATAATGTACAACAGGGTATCGTCCCATTTCACAGCCTAGTACTCACTGTCACTGCGTGTACATCTAGACCTCCTGCTTCCCCAATCTTATAAACCCTCGGGCGTTTCGGTATGCCGGCGTGTTTTGAAGTCAATGGGTGTGATGGCTTTAGAAGACCTTGGAGACAGCGTCAATGGCGAAAGGGGCTGGAGAGAGTTAGCTTTCTTGGCGTCAAGACCCGACACTGTCGTGATAAACATACAGAGGTAGAGCATGACAGCCGAGACAAGGACCTGCTGGATGTTGAAGTTGGCCTCAGCCTCCATCTGCTTGATCTCCTCCTCGGAGAGCTGGGGGGGCGCGACTGCTAGCTGTCAGCAACAATCCGTCGGTGACACAGAGGGTCACTGTGTGCACTAACATCCTCCGAACATTATGTTGGTTTCTGGGGAGATAAACTGGGTAGGTTTGGTGTGAGCGTTGATTCAGTCAGGTCGTCGTCGCGTCGAGCTATGATGTCGTCGCAAAAATTTAGGATCCTCTAGGTACCTACCTTCAGCTCCCCCTGTGCCTGACCGTCTGACCGGGGGCATCATACATTACCTTAGGTAAGCGAATAATAGCCCGCTGATAAGAAGCGGCCTTCGGCTACAGTTACCGACCGGGCATGGCCCGAAGCCGGGACCTTATCAGGGATGAGTGAAAATTCCGGCGTATCAGAAGTTCTTGTTGGGTAACGATAAGATAATTGTGGATGGACCGGTCGACTTTTCGTCGCACTCCTGACCCGTGTCGAGCCGAGCACGGTGACGGTGACCCGTTGTCCGGGGCAAGTGCCAGTCATTGATAGCCATGGTCACCATTGCCCCAGGTCAAGAAATATCGTGGGCAAGGGCAAGAGCGTGCATGACTTGATCCTTCTCACCGACATTATCATTTGGGCAAATTCTTCTCTGCCTGCTCCTAGATCTTGACCCTCTTGTTCTTGATCCCTTTATCTCCAGATTCGAGGCGCATCAAAATCGCACCCCGGATCATTGTTGGTCGGTGGCAACGTCTAGGAGGGCATGAGTCGCTAATCATACCCGCACCCTCCACTTGACCGGACCGGCTCCTTCAAGACCCTCTTCACCCCTCGTGCCGAGGAATCTTCCCCACGACACCTCCCTCCATCTCCTCCTCGATCACCTCCAGTATACCCTCTTGGCCGTCAATTGAACCCAAACCGAGCCTCAATCTCGCTCGCAATGGCTTCTACCAGACTGCCCCTCCCCCGCCATCTGCGCCTGCGGGTGGCATCGCCGAGGTTCACCAGTGGCCTGACCCGGGCATCGCCAGCATCCTCTGCACGTGTCGCCAGCCTCTGCGCTCGCCCTGCGACGGCAGCGTCCTTGCCTATTGGCATTCGCGCCTTCAGCGCGACGTCGTCGGCCTTGACGCCTTACGCCAAGGACAACACGGACGCGTCGCTCGAGCCACTCAATGAAATCCACACCTTCATCCCCCGCCACATTGGCCCCGACATTCACGATGCCCAGCAGATGCTCAAGGCGCTGGATCCGCCAGTCAAGACCATTGACGAGTTCATTGCCGAGGTCATTCCAGCAGACATCTTGTCGGAAAGGGCGAGCTTCCTCCCCAATGGCGAGCCCCTCCTCGAGAGCGACATTGCCTCCATCGCAAAGATGCTCAAGACCACCGAGCAGTACGCGGCCCCCTTGATCGGTGCTGGTTATTACCCCACCATCACGCCCCAGGTCATCCAGACCAATGTTCTGGAGAACCCGGCTTGGTACACCAGCTATACGCCCTACCAGCCCGAGATCAGCCAGGGCCGCCTCGAGTCTCTTCTCAACTTCCAGACCATGGTCTCCGACCTGACCGCTCTCCCCATCTCCAACGCTAGTCTTCTGGACGAGGGTACGGCAGCCGCCGAGGCCATGACTCTGTCCATGAACGCTCTCACAACCTCTCGTGCCAAGAGGGCTGGCAAGACATACGTCGTATCCCACCAGATTCATCCCCAGACGCTCTCTGTCCTGCAGGGCCGAAGCCAGGGATTCGGTATCAAGATCGAGACTATGGATGTTACATCTCCTGATGCGCATGAGCGTATCAAGGCTCTCGGTGACGACCTTGTTGGTGTCATGGTTCAGTATCCTGACACTAGGGGTCACGTTGAGGACTTCAAAGCTCTCTCCGAAGTCGTTCACTCGCAGAAGGCTCTTTTGGCTGTTGCCACTGACCTTCTGGCTCTGACTCTCATCACTCCCCCCGGTGAGTGGGGAGCCGACATTGCCTTCGGTACTGCCCAGCGATTCGGCATTCCTCTTGGCTTTGGTGGGCCCCACGCTGCCTTCTTCTCTGTTACCGACGCGCACAAGCGCAGAATGCCCGGACGTCTCATTGGTGTCTCCCGCGATCGCACGGGCAAGAATGCCATGCGCCTGTCTCTCCAGACTCGTGAGCAGCACATCAGGCGAGAGAAGGCCACGAGCAACGTGTGCACAGCCCAGGCGCTGCTCGCCAACATGAGCGCCCTCTATGCCATTTACCATGGCCCCGAGGGCCTCAAGCAGATTGCCAACCAGGTCGTCGCCCGCGCACGCGGCGTTCAGGCGCTTGCGAAGCAGTTTGGCATCACGACGGAGGAGCCTCGCAACTCTCCCGATGGCAAGGTCCTCTTCGACACGGTCATTCTCAAGGCTGGCGACACGCTCGCCGAGAACATCGTCGAGAAGGGTGAGCAACTTGGTCTTCACTTCCGTAAGCTTGGCAGCGGCGACCTCGGGGTCAGCATCGGCGAGGCCACGGATGCGCAGGCGTTCCAGAGGCTTGCCATTACCTTCGCTGCGGCCACTGGTGGAGATCCCAACACGGCCGGCGATGCTGCCATTGAGGTCCTTCGCAAGGAGGGCGTCGATGTGCACAGCACGCTGCCTGACACTTTCAAGAGACAGTCGGAGTACCTTACGCACCCTGTTTTCAACACGCACAGGAGCGAGACGGAGATCCTCCGTTACATCTACCACCTTCAGTCGAAGGATCTTTCGCTCGTCCACTCCATGATCCCCCTGGGATCCTGCACCATGAAGCTCAACGGTGCGACTGAGATGTCCCTGATTTCCAAGGACACTTTCTCCAACCCCCACCCTTTCGTCGACCCCAAGCACACCCCTGCCTACCTCGAGTTCATCAAGCAGCTTGAGGACCAGCTGTCCGGCATCACCGCCATGGACGCAACCACTCTGCAACCCAACTCGGGAGCGCAGGGTGAGTTTGCCGGTCTGCGCGCCATCCGCAGGTACCATGAGCAGCAGCCGGGTACCAAGCGCGACATCTGCCTGATTCCCAAGTCTGCCCACGGCACCAACCCTGCGTCTGCCGCCATGGCCGGCATGCGCGTCGTCCCTATCGAGTGCGACAACCTGACGGGCAACTTGGATATTGCGGATCTCGAGGCGAAGTGCAAGAAGCATGCTGCCGAGCTGGGCGCCATCATGGTCACGTACCCTAGCACCTACGGTGTGTTTGAGCCGAACATCAAGCAGGTCTGCAACATTGTGTACGAGCACGGCGGCCAGGTTTACATGGACGGTGCGAACATGAACGCCCAGATCGGCCTCTGCTCGCCCGGCGAGATCGGCGCTGACGTCTGCCACCTGAATCTGCACAAGACGTTCTGCATCCCCCACGGTGGAGGTGGTCCTGGCGTTGGCCCCATCTGCGTGAAGAAGCATCTGGCTCCCTACCTGCCCGGTCGTCACCCCGACGACAAGGAGGCCATGATCAGCAGCGCCCCTTACGGAAGCGCTGGTATCCTGCCCATTCCTTGGGCTTACAACTCCCTCATGGGCAACCGTGGCCTTGCTCTCGCCACCAAGATGGCCATTCTGAATGCCAACTACCTCCTCGCCCGCCTCAAGCCTTACTACAAGATCCTTTATACTAACGAAGGTGGCCGCTGCGCGCACGAGTTTATCCTCGACGCCCGTCCCTTCAGCAAGACGGCGGGTATCGAGGTTATCGATATTGCCAAGCGTCTTCAGGACTACGGATTCCACTCGCCCACCATGTCCTGGCCTGTGGCTAATACGCTCATGATCGAACCCACGGAGAGCGAGAGCAAGGAGGAGCTGGACAGGTTCGTCGATGCGTTGATCTCGATTCGCGCCGAGATCCGCGAGATTGAGGAGGGCAAGCAGCCGCGCGAGGGTAATGTGCTGAAGATGGCGCCTCACCCTCAGGCAGACGTGATCCTGGGTGACAACGGCAAGTGGGAGCGGCCCTACTCGCGTGAGCAGGCGGCGTACCCCCTGCCGTGGCTCAAGGAGAAGAAGTTCTGGCCCAGCGTTGCGCGTGTCGATGATGGTGAGTTCAACCTGTCAACTTGTCTACTCAGACTGCTAACAAACTCACAGCCTTTGGTGACACGAACCTCTTCTGCACTTGCCCACCCGTCGCAGACACGACGGGCGAGCAGTCATTTGGCGTACAGGCGTAAAAGTGGGCTTAACACCTGTACCATACCATATAATCAGCGTGCATGGATTCAATGCGTCGGAAACATTCAACATTTCGGCCGCAAGGCGTAAGGAGGGTTCAGAAATTTTTAACATTACAAAGCGGGTTCAGCGGTTCAACCTGGAATCTAGACGAGAAATACAGGATGACAGAAGTAGTACCACGGGTGTTTTTCAACAGGCAGGATAGCGAGGGACGGAAACAAATGACTTTATACCAATGATGCCAGGGAGGTTGCGCTTCGGCACCGGGCGGCCCCTGGCGATAGACGTGGAAATGTGATCCGCGGTTTACTTCTAGACAGTGGTGTCGAATGACTGAGGGTTCAATAAAGAAGCATACGGTGTTTTTACCCCCTTGGTGGTCCATGGGGTTGTTGCTATCTGAAGGTGATGGGAGAGGTGAAAATGGGCAGCTGTCTCACCGAATGACTCGGTTGACCGAGAGCGCGCAGTCTGGTGGCGGGGCAATTTTTACCCCGCCACCCCGCCATCCAGTCGAGAAAATTCGAAGCTCGATTATCGATCAAGCCTTCACAAGCTGCTTATCAAGCGTGCGACCAAACTGGGCTTCCCTTCTGTTCGCGCTCACTACATAGTCTTGGTTGGGGTCCTGTCACAGTCAACTGCATTTCAGAGATACCCAGATACCCAGGCGAGCCTCTTTCCCATTTTTCCAGTTTCAGGTTCCTCTCCCACCATACCTATTCCGACGAACGCATCTCACCCATCGCAAAAATGGCTGCCCGCCGCGAAGATGTCGAAGATATCCACGATGAGGGCAACGACATGCTCGATGCCGAGGAGGTCGGCGAGGAGGTCCCCTCGGGTGACGAGGGCGACGTCGCGATGGATTCCGACAACGAAGAGATCCAACTGCAGAACGATTCGATTGCCTACTTTGACGAGCACGCTGATTCGGTCTTCGCTATTGCGCAACACCCCATCCACCCTTCGCTGATTGTCACCGGTGGCTCCGAAGGTGACGCCGATGATGCGCCAGGCAAGGGCTATGTCGTCGACACGAGCGCCGCCGCTGAGCGCCCCGTTCTCCCCGCCAGCTACAGCGGCGCGCAGCCTCGCGAGAGCACGCAGCTCGACGCCATCTTTGCCGTCGAGGGCCATACCGACTCTATCAACACCCTCGCCTTTACGCTCCCCAACGGCGACTTCCTCGTCAGCGGCGGCCTCGATGGCCGGCTGCGGGCCTACACAGCGACCGTCGCCCCGCCCAACGCGACGTTCAAGTTCCTCGCCGAAGCCCAGGAGGTGCCCGAGATCAACTGGATCGCCCCCTGTCCATCCTCCGACTATCCCAACACCATCGCCCTCGGCGCGTCGGACAACTCGGTCTGGGTGTACACAATCGATCCCGCCTCGGACGCACAGAACCCGCTGCAGCTCGTCAACACCTTTTGGCTGCACACGGCACCCTGCACGGCCGGCGCCTGGACACCCGACGGCAGCCTCCTCGCCACGGTCGCCGAAGACTCGTCTCTCTACGTCTGGGACGTGTGGGGCCTCGCGGCGTCCAAGGGCGTCGTCGAAGCCAACGGCCAGACGGTCGTGTCGCTGACGGGCGCCGACTCGCGCTTCGAGGTCGAGGGCGGCCTGTACTCGATCGCCGTCGAGCCCAACGGCGCGTACCTCGCCGTCGGCGGCGCGGGCGGGCAGATCCGCATCGTCTCGCTGCCGCGCCTCGCGGCTGCGGCCCAGGGCCACGCGGGCGCCGGCAAGGGCAAGAGCGCCAAGGGCGCGGCGTCGCAGGACGTGACGTCGGGCGGGCAGATCCTCGCGGGCCTCCAGACGCAGGCCGACAGCATCGAGACGCTCTCCTTCACGCAGCCGACGGGCGGCCAGCCCGGCCAGCAGACGACGCTGCTCGCGGCCGGCAGCGTCGACGGCAGCATCGTCGTCTTTGACGCGACGCGGCGATTCGCCGTCCGCAAGAACCTCGTCGGCGCCCACGAGGACTTTAGCGTCGTCAAGGTCGAGTTCGTCAAGGGCACGTGGCTGCTGACGAGCTGCGGCATGGACGGCGTCGTGCGGCGGTGGGACCTGCGCGGCGGCGCGGCCAACCCCGGCGCCGCGGGCGCCGCCAACAGCGGCCTCGTCAAGGAGTGGAAGGGTCACCTTGGCGACGGCGAGGGCGGTGGCGTCCTCGGCTTCGTGCAGGGCGCGACGGGCGAGCGGGTCATTACGGCGGGCGATGATGGTGTTGTGCTGGTTTTCGAGGCGTGAACTGGCACCACGCCCAGAGGATGTATGATGCCGTAATGAGGATAGAGAAAAAGGGAGGCTATGATGGTATTCTGCGAATAGAACCGAGAATCAACGACTGTGTTCTTGTCTATTCTGGCCCCTTGTAATACTCCATGCCCACCGGTCCTAGCGACGTGCATCGAGGCTGACCTTGTGATTTCTAGCATTAAAGACTCTAAAGCTTAAGACTATCGTCTTTCTATCTCTGACTGGAGCAGACTAAGGAGGTCAAGCATCATGAAATTGTTCGCCAAAGCTCGTCGCGGATATGATGCTCACCGAGCACACCGAGCAACCCCGGTAGACCCGTCACATGACCTCGCATTGGCGTCCGGCAGGCGCTACCCGGTCGCGTCGCCAGGAGCTCTCGTGCTTGCTTGCCAGCCTTGCCTTCCCCAGAAAATCCATGCGACAAACGACGTAATTCCACACTGAACCAACAACCTCGACTCACCCTTCGCCTCGAGCCCCAACACCTCCCTTTCCACCACTGAACCCCATTCAATCCCCATCTCCAGCTTCACCACCAATCTCAACGTTCAATCAGATCCTGTTGTTGCCTGCATCATGGCAACCCGTTCCATGTCGCGAGACCTTGACCGGGCACCCACTCGCTCTCCAACGCCCGCCTCCGACTACTCTCGCAACCGTCGCCGGCATCCCGACTCGCGCTCGCGTTCGCGCTCCCGATCACCAGAGCCCCGTCGAAACGGCAGGTACAGGAGTGAGACGCGCTCGCGAAGCCCCGTGCGACGAGGCGACAGTCGCGGGCGCAGCCCAACACCCGTCAAGAGCACAAAGGTGGGTAGCGCAAGGTTTCCCATGCGCGAGGGAGCTGACACGAGGGTAGATTGTCGTCGAGCGTCTAACCAAAAATGTCAACGAAGACCACCTCTACGAGATCTTCGGCCAGTTCGGCCACGTGAAGGATCTCGATCTACCCATCAACAGAAGTAAGTCGTCGACCCCAGAGCCCCTACCCACACTGGGCGCAGTACTAACCCGTCGTCCTCTTCTTCAGTGGGCACCAATCGCGGCACAGCCTATATTCTATACGATGACGAGGCCGACGCCGAAGATGCCATTGCCAACATGCACGAGGCCCAGCTCGACGGCGCTGTCATCAACGTCTCCATCGTCCTGCCGCGCCGCAAACTCTCTCCCGCACCACCTCTAGCTCGCCGAGGTGCCGGCATAGATCCAAGGAACCCACACCCGGGCCCTCGGGGGGGTGGCGGCCGCGGTGGCTCATTGGGCGGTGGTGGTGGGCGTGGTGGCGGCCCCAACGGTCCCTCGAGCCGCTTCGGACCCAATTCGGATACATACCGTCCCCGATCTGCCTCACGCTCGCCGTCGCGCTCGCCGGCAGCGAATGCTGGCAGGGGACGGGGTGGCAGTCGCTACAGGAGTCGCTCTCGGTCGCACACGCCTTCGAGATCAAGATCACCGTCGAGAACGCAACCAAGACGTCATGGAGGGGGTGGTAGTGGTGGTGGTGGCGGCGGCGGCGGTCGCAACAGGAGAGATAACCGACGGAGAAGCCCCAGCCGCGATTCCTACGATGACAGGTCCAGGAGCCGCAGTCGCAGTCGAGACCGTCGTTCTCGGCATTAGAGACGTTGAAATGATGAAGTCAGACACGCGGGATGCTGGGGGCTTCTGCTGACGAGGTCCCAAAGCCATTTTGGCGATTGAAAAAGGTATGGGACTTGGCAACAGGGTGAAGGACAAGACGGATAGAATCCGTGTTGGCTATCTTGCGCGCAAACATGTAAACATCCGGAGGATCAGACAACCAAAGACCCTGAGAATGATACCATCTTTGAAGCTGTGCGCCTGGCTATGCTCAGGTCGTCAACACACCTTGAAAGTGATCATTTGCAACGCTCTCAGAAGCTGGCTACGTGAGCCAGCATAGGATCCTGGTCAAGATCGACGACAGACGAATAGGCAGTTCAAAGGAGAATTATAAGGTAGCGAAGCGCAAGGATGGGCAGCAGCACCGCCGTCAGCTAGGCAGCGAACAGGAGTCATGGCCAAGACTCGTATTGCGTTCGCTGCTTGCGCAGTTTGCATCTGACTGCAGGACAATGTTCCTTCAGGTCTTCATGTAAGGGTAAACTACAATGCAGCTGAGAGGCTTGCTCGAATTGGCATCGTGGTTCATGCTACTTCGTGAAAACCAACTATCTCATACTTGGCGATGCCCACAATCGAGAGCGGCACGTCTCTGGAAAAGTCCTGTGGCGTTCGGGGTTGCCCTGCACGATTTCCCTCACTCCGATGGCACAATGAGAGGCCTCCTCCTCTCGAGGTTGACAAGGCAAAGCGCCAAGTAGTTTCCTCGCAGAACCCCCGCTCGATGGCCCGAGGAGACATCTGGCCTGAAGTCTCGGCTGGCCCTCTTTATCATATGATATCCATTCAACTCCAGATGCCGAGCATATGTTGGGCAGCTCGCATCAACACGGCCAACACATCGAAGGGCAACCGCTTGGTATCATCCGCAACCGACCCATTCACACGCATGCCGACACGCATGCCGGATACTGGCACGTTGTATTCTGGTGAGCTTGGGCAGCGCAAGAGCGGAGAAACGGAGTCGTCTCGTGGTCTGCAGAGCTGCTGGTGCTATAGAAGGGCAGTCTGGTTGGTCGGATGGTGGGAGGATTTGCCATGGAAGCCGACTGGCCGCATGGTGATGAGGCCACTTTCTCGACTCGAAGGAACACGTGCCTACCAATGACACCGTCCAGGAACCCGACAACTTGGTTGGTGTTTCACCAATGCAGCTGTCATGAGTGCTTTCTCGTGATCGGCCCCCTCATCTTGTTTCTCGCCAACCAGACTCGGGGCCGGCTCCTTGCGGTGGCGCTCTCACGGTCTGGCATGGCAGGTTGCTGCTCACAAGGTAGAGCGATCGTCGAGAACCTGTACCGTGTTGGACCCTAAGCTGACGTGAAACCAAGGTCCTGCAGATTGCGAACACAAAAGACGCCTCTCACGTGGCCCAATCTGGAGGCTCAAACTTGACGCCCTCCACAACGAAGGCACGGGTGTGCCACACCAACGGAAACCTTGTTATCGATGGTGGGCCGACCTTCACTTTGCTTCGTCGATCGGAAGCGCGGCAGCGCGGCAAGACCATGTCCCCGCCGGGTTGAAGGGGTGTCGACGCGGCTGGCGGCCGGTGATGATGCGAGCCCATCCTCCTCCTCCTCGGGTTTACACGTTTGCTGTACAGCGTGTAGAGCTTACAGCAGATCTCGACGAACAGCGTCAGGTCTAATAGGCTGCAGAATGCCCCTACAGCTAGAAGGTCTGGTCACACGGTAATAAGGCCAACGGCGTTTTTGGAAATAGACCAATATCCGGGTCACCTGGTAGATCCTCTGGTGGCGATAGCTGGTTCATCTCGTGACCCGGCCAAGGAGACCCAGGATACAGGACAAAGCACTCGGCGCAAGGGAAGCACGTTGGGGTATATCCATGAGGTGTTACTATAGGTGTGTACCGTCTTTGCGAGCCTCCAACATGACATGGCCCGACCACTGCATTGCCAGCGCAATCATACTACGCAGAGCCCAACACTACTGTGTACGACGTCACACGAAGCAGCCCGTCAATCCAACGACATGCTGTTCCGTACCCCTTGACAAGGCCGTTGCAGTAGTAAAAAAAAGACAAAATGGACGCAAGAAACTCGTTGGGAATCCCACAACAGAGTACCATGTGCCTCAAGGAAGTCGTCCAAGAATCGCACGAATATCGCACATGAGCACGATCAAACACTCACCCAACAACACATAACAGTCCTGTTTCTGTTCAAACATGGGACTTCCAGTCCCGCCGTGGCCTCCGACTCCGCCACCTCATCCTCGTCCGCCACCAAGGCCCGAGCCGCCACCAAACCCACCCCCAACTCCCTGACAGTCACGGCTCTGGAAGCGCCTGGCAAATATTTTCGCCCATGACGGACAGCTTGAAATTCAAATTTCTACATCCAAGTTTTCTTCATCGAGATGTTCCGTCAAAAGTCTTGGTATATATCCTTGGAAGCATCGCTGTCAATCAGCCCGTTTGAAGGCTTACACGATCCAGCTTTAAAAGAAAAATAGGGGGTGTGGTCAGTCATTCATGCCCATCAGCTATACGCGATGACCTCGTCGGAGACTCTGACTCGAATGATCGGCCAGGAAGCTCAGGTAAAGGAAGAGTCAGGTCTTGCGCGAGTTTAGCACTAGAGTGATAGCATTGGTGAAAGCTATACGTTAACAGAGGAACGCATCACATCTGAACTCGAGCCGTGGATGTGCTTCATTGTAATTCATCAGCAACCTCCATCTTCTCCTGAGCTACATGTAGTGTGATGTCTTGAAGACTTACCTTCCAATCCACCAACCTTACCTCATAACCAGATCAATGGCATGCGCAGCCTGTATCCGGTCCATGAGTCTTTCACGGTTCCGTCCGTCTACAACCCCAACATCGGAACAACAGCAAACCCAGCTGCAGCCCGCAAACCCGTTCCAGCCTCAAACCCCCTGCCCGCAGCATCCGGACTCGCCGTCGGCCCGCTCACCCCATCCGTAGTCGTGCGCCTCGCCGTGCTCCGCCCAGCACCCTCGGAGCCCGCCCCGGCTGTCGTCGCAGGACAGTCCTCGCTGCATGGGATCGCGCTCGTGAACGGCGTCCCCTGACCGTCTCCGCCCGCCGACCACACCGGCGCCTGGCTCACCGAATCCGGGTCCGGCACCGCCGCCGCCGCCCGCGGGTTGAGCACGTTGTCAAGGACGTGGACCACGCCGTTCGCCATGAGGATGTCCGGCTGCACGACCTGCGCCGAGTTGACGAACAGGTTGTTCCCGGCCCTGCGCACGCTGACGTCGCTGCCCTCGGCGGCAGCGAGGCGCGTCCCGTTCGTCAGCGTCGCTGAGGCGGCCCCCCGGCCGCGGACGACGTGGTAGCGCACCAGGTCGCGCAACGCGTCGGCGCCGAGGGCGTCGAGGCCAAAGGTCTGCAGCGTCTCGCTGAGCGGCGTCGGCGGGATGAGGAGGTTGTCGACCACCTGGATGAGGCCGCCGGCAAAGGCATATATATAGAGATCTATATATATATATATATTATAGATATCTATCGCCGCGCGTGCGTGTTGTGCGGGAGCCCTGGGCCGAGGTGAAGACTACGACGTCGCCAGGCTGCCGAGCCAGGACGACGTTCTGGCCGGCCGAGACGTTGGTCCAGGTCGGCGAAGTGAGGAGCGTGGCTGCAGAGATGGAAGGCCCTGGCGCGAGGTCCTCGGTGTCGACGATGCCCTTGAGGAGATGGTACTCAAGGATCGGCACTGTCATCGAGGCGTTCTTTGGATCCCAGATGCCGTAGAGAGATGTGCCCGGGATGTTCTCGAATGCGGCATTCGAGGGGGCGACAATCTTTCACGTCAGCGGAAAGCCGAGAGAAGGGGCTTAAGACGGCTTGATAACTTGCCGTCACGCCATCCTGGTTCGGCAGTTTGAGGAGGGACATTAGGATATTCCTGAAGGTATTTTAGTGTCAGAGATGTGAGGGAGGCATATGAACTTATCGCAAACTGCGATTTCTGCCGCATACCTTAATCAGCCCATAAAATTTCGACAGGTTCTTCTGCGATGACAATGCGGTCCCGAGATCCTCATCTTCGGTTTGCGCAGCGGTAATGTGCGTTGACGATAGGGCGAGACATGCTACGAGGGCAATGAGGCCAGCATGCTGGGTCGACGCAAACATGATGTCCAGAGCGAGGCAAAACTGAGGCTATTCACAAGGCAAGCCAGTACAAGCTTTAGATCTGCCTCAAGATGAGATGAACCTGTATCATCCAAAGGCAATACCTATGCAAACATTACCTTGTATCCAACGGCTCGCGCAATTATCACCCATGACCAGCCAAACGGCAATGGTCAGGCAGATCTTCCATGGACGATCGACACGACAGTAACGAAATACGGTGATGGGAGCGGGACCACAGAAGTGGCACCAGCAGTACCATGTCCACTACTGCAGAATTACACCCGCCACCTGTGAGAGGGATGCGAAGATCACCAGACAGATTCAAAATCTTAGGCCACGCGGTGAGAGGGGAGAACGGCTTCTGTGTGTCTTGTACGGCATTCGAAAGGCCATAGAAGACATGGACGCTTATGCCCCTGCTTGCTTTCGCATGATGTTTAGAGATGGTAACGAGCTTATTCGGCCGCTGTTTCGGACTTGAATGAACCTTACTCCTGGTTCCATGAACGACAATCCTTGACCAAGTCTCATGTAGTCGTGGTTCACCGTCCACCTAACAATCACAGAACGCAGAACCTGAACGTGCCAACCAGAGAAAGCAAAGGGAACACATTGTCACGCATGATACGAAAAATGCTGTCAAAATGCAGTCTGCTTGGTCTACACACGCAACAAATCACCTCATCCTACTGCGGACACCCTGGTAACACGAGGGTTAAGGCGCAGGTGCTACGGAACACGTCCTGTGGAGCAGCTGGGCATGAAGACGACGCTTCCACGGTATCGACAGCGAACCATTGCGTTCCGTTGATTTGATGCTCTGGGCCCAAGTACACAGACAACAAAGGCGCGGTGTTTCTTCATTCTTCTCAGTTCCGAGTCTGCATCACGTGTCAATTGGAGCCAGGCCTGAACCAGGAAGCATCACGTCCTCAGCTGCCAAGTGCGCCCTCTCTTGGCAGCCTTCGCCTTTCTTTGCTGTGCTTGGTACCTCACTCCCCGCTCGAGCGTCGTCTGTTTGTACTCGGCCCTGACGATCAGCTCGGCAGCGCACGCCAACAGACCGCCGGCGCCGGTGCGCAGCGCTACCTGAAGCCGGCCAACCTTCGGGCGATGGTCAAGGGCCGGGGTTGTCCCTGCCGCGTCGCGAACAGGTGCAGTGCGCAATACGAGATGATGTGACAAGTCAAGGCATAATGGAGCATCAACCGGCGAGCCGACGTGTTGCGATGCAGATGGCGATAGCGACAGGCAGCTTGTGATTCTCGCGGCGTTGTCAAGAAGGCGCAGCCAGCAACCTTGCAGGCGGAACCGCTCACCCGCCGGCATACTTCGCTTGGCTTGACACATTCGGGGCCGCATGCGGTGCCTACCGCCCACCGCCCACCGCCCAATGTCTCACGTCGGGCGTGGCGCGCCAGGCAGAACGGCTTTCCGGTGAGGAGAGCTCGATTGGATCACAGGTAGCGGGTTGTCGTTCGTGCCAATGCGAGGCTGCTGCAGGTTGACGTGGTGAGGAGAAGAAACGAAGAGGTGGGGTGGTAAGAATAGGTGGCGAGCGGGGGTTGATCCAGAGTTGCCAGCCCTCTCTTCTTTTGTGATTATCAAAAGGTCCCTGATCGACCCGAATTGAGTGTGCCTAGCCTCCCGTGTCAATAGTTTGAGGAAGAGACGGGACGAGACTGAGTCGGAAGATACAGTAGACAACCAGGGTGTGTTTGCCCTGGCTCAATGACCGTCCGCCACCAGCACCAGGGGCGGCCAGCCGCCTGAGATACAACGGCACCTTCGTCGTCGACAAGCAGTTGGCCCCCCACGCAACAATTGGTGGCGTTCAGGGTCTTCGGGATGTTGGTCCTATCTGAATCAGAACGGGCCGTGGCTGTTGTGCTCAGCTGAAAAGCAGCCCTATCAACCCGTCGAGTGCACCTGCGACAAACGCAGCACGAAGCAATAATCATCATGCTGCAGAAGAGTTCCATGCTGCCCTCGGTCCAGGAGATGCGAGTGTGGCCCCAGAGAAGCATAACACCGTAGGCTGCATTGGCCTGGCCGCCAGTAGGCACGCAGAGATACGGTGCCACCTGCGGTTCAGATGCTGATTGCTACCATGTCGCCAGAGTCCAGATGCCCGACGCAGTGAGCAGTGAACGGTGAGATACGGCCAGCCAGTAGGAGATTTGAGCCGCCCACCCTTTCAGACGACTTCTCAACGAAATATCGCAACCACAACCCACCGACGACATATGCGCAAGACAGGCGAAGACGGCCAAAAAGAGGCATCTGGCGCCAATCAGGGTTCAATAGATTGTGCAGGTAAGAATGCATGGCTGACAGGCTGGACGGACATGCTGTGCTGCATTGTTCGGCGTGTTGTTGTGCTCGCGTCGCCGTGAAATGATTGTGCTTGCTGTCTGGAGAGGCGCAACCGATGCCATGCAACATTGATCATATCATGATCGATTCGACTGACGCGGGCAGCGCCGTTGACGCTGGCTGCAGCTTCAGCTTCAGGCACAAAGTCGATTCGGTTCGCTGAATCCAGGCCGTAAAGCTGGCGAGTCCTGCCACGACGCCACTGCCCATTTCGCAATACTAATGCATACCTGCTTGTGCTCGGCGAAATACGAAATACGGCCAGAGAAGCCATTCGTTCGGCGAAGGGGTGCCCTCAGCCGTGTGTTGCCGTCCGAGGAATCAAAGCTCGCAGAGACAAGTAGCATGGCAGTAGCTACTCCTTCAGCCGCATCTAGAACCATGTTGCCTAGGTACGAACATGTCAATCTGCCGGGCTCGTTGTTGGCCGGCCGTTATCGATGCTGGGATATTCTCAACACCATGGCGCGAGTGGACCCTGTCATGGTCGCTTCGGCAGAGATGATCGACCGGAAGGTCCGCGAGCTGGTGCGGCAGGAAGGGCACTAGCAGGCAGGTAGCGATGAGGCCGGCGAGGCGGGCCAAGGTGAGCTCGCACAAGATGGCTGGTGGTTCGGCTGGAGGTGTAGCGCCGCCTCGCTTCAGGGAAACCTGAGGGCCAAAGGCAAAGGGTAAAGGGCAAAAGAGCATAGGGCATATGGGTGACAGGACACGGGACAAGTCTTTCAGCTGCCGCGCCCCCACAGGCAGATTGAGCGCTTGGCAAAGACGCCCACGGTGACGTGACAAGAAGAAAGAAGCATGTGAGCTCGTTTTAGGGCGTTGAACGAAGACCGGAAAGAGAATGTGGCTCGACGACCAGACGATGGAGTCAGTTGGTTCATGTTTCGTCAAAGAACAGACAAGACGCAGACAAGGAACGGCTTGGACGCCCTCACCACGTGAAGCTTCGACGGGGGAAATTGCGGTGGGCAGTGCCTTCCTGCTTGGCTCGCATTACTCGTTAAGGTTAGCGTAACGTCGACAGGGCGCCAAGATGTGAACGTAGTCCCGATCGGGGCCGTCCAGGGTTGGTTGCCGCTAGACCAGGGGCATCCAATCTTCCATGCAGGAACATGGGGAAGGTCGAAAGAGGCGGCTGCCACCGGTGTGCCGAGCTAAAAGTTGCCAAGTCTTTGCTGCTTTTGCCGCCGCTTTTTCGTGTAGGTTTCGCTTGCTTTCAAAGGAGTCTTTGAACGTGCTTTCCTGGTCTGCTTTGTGCGCACTGCTGCTACGCCGAACGGAGTGGGCCGTTCATTACGGATGCTCGGACAGACCGTCTCTTGGCCCTGATCCTCTCCGGCTCTCCGAGCTGTCCGTTGTCTTGGTTGTGCACCCAGCAGTCTGGGTCTCTTGGTGTTCCTGTGCCACCAGAGGAGAGGAGGTGGTGGGCTCCCATCACTGATCTGCGCTGATCAAATCTTTTCCTGACGAGTCCATCGAGATTCCGTACGAATGTGCCAGGACAGGGTCCTCCATTGTACAGGTACAGTACCCTACCTAGGTAGGTAAGGTACTCAAGGCAGGCACCCCAAGGAAGGCACGCCGTCAAAGGTCGACATGGAACGGCGCTGGGCCGACCACCGTCAGGCTCAGATTAAGCGATACGCAGGAGGCGGAATTGGTTATCTATTGTTTCCTATTCATCATTCGCCACTTGCAGGCCGCGGCCCAGAAGGTCAACCCGCATCGATCTCGACTTGGCGAGACTTCACTATCACGGCCGGAAGCGACCAAGCTGAACTGCGTTGCTTCTCGCCACGTCCTGGCCTGCCACTGCCGAGAAGGAGAGCAGGCAGACGGCGGGAAGTGTACATGACAATGTCTGTGTGGCAGTACTGGCATGATACGTGGGATACGTCAGGGCGTCGCGCCACCAGAAGTAACCGGCGAACTAGCGCTAGCCTTCAGCACAGAGGGTTCCAAGGCCCCAGGGCTCCAGGGGGTGGAAGCCCCTCATCCGCCCCAGAAGGCGGCTTGACGGAAGGCTTGGCCAGGTTACTGTGCGGGCTCCACAGGGGGCCCTGTCTCTGTACGTACCTAGCAGGCACCTTACCTGTAGGTACCTTACGGTACAGTAGCGTCCAGCGTCTAGCGTCCTGTCTTTCACAGGTGCACGCCTCCAACGTCGGTTGCTCCTACTCCGATCTGGCTCTTGTCTGTCTGTGTCTGGCTCGGCTGAGGTGGCTCCCGCTCGGCCATCTTCAACACCACCACCACCACCACCACACCTCCTCCTCCTCCACCACCTTGACCTCTGGCGAACACCCCCCGCCGACTCGCTGTCGCACCTTGCATCTTGCCGGCTGCAGAGCCATCATTCTTTGCTTGCTGAGCTGTCACAGCTGTCCCTCTTTCAGCCCTCCGCCCTCCAGACCTCCCACACGTTTCCGACAGTGCACATTGGACACTCTACCCATCTTTTATTAGGTGCCTACCTCTAGGTACCTTAGCTAGAGCAGCATCCTCAGCTCGGCCAACCCGCACCCCGAAGCAGCCATTGGCGACATATCCATTCGTTTATCCCACCTCTTCTGCCCGCTCTTCTGGCTCAAATCCTCTCTCGCCTTCATTATACAGTAATACCTAATCCAAGCCCCCGAGGTCGACAACCTACCACTTCTTTCTCTCGCCGTGGTGCTGTCGGATCTCTTTGCGACAGTCGCAGCACGTGCACTCGTCGACCTTCGTCGTCGACCCTCGTCGTTGACCCTCGTCGTCACGACCCCTCCTTCTCTCCTCAACCCAAACACAATGGACCGTGAAGGCGATTACGCCCGCGAGGGCCAAGCCTACTACGGCCGCTCCGTGACTGGTGGTCCCGCCCCCTCAGCAGCGACCACTGCTGCCACCACGCCTCAGTACCGCCCTGGCACCCCCAACACAGACAACGCCGGCCGCAACCCCTTTGGCGATGGTCTCGAGTCGCAGGCCTCTGTTCGCTCCGCCATTCCTACCGGTGCCAGCACGAATCCCTTTGCGAGCCCCAACAACTCTCGGCCCCCGTCGAGCTACGGCTCATCTAGTGCCCGCGCCACGGGCATGTTCGATGAGCGCTCGCAGCGTTACTTCCACTCCCGGAGAATCCGCAAGGAGGACATTGAGAAGCCATGGCTCCAGAAGACGCACCCCAAGGAGAAATGGGTCACCATTCTCCCCATCATTGGCATTCTGATCGGTCTTGGCATCTCCGGCTTCCTCATCTGGGACGGCATCAACAGCGTCATAAAACACAAGTACTGCATCGTGCTTGACGACGACTTCGCCAGCGGCCTCAGCTCCAGTACCTGGACCAAGGAGGTCGAGGTTGGCGGCTACGGGTATGTTCACTTGACTCCATCCGCCATGCCCGCTCCCGCGCGTACTAACACATAGCCCAGCAATGGCCAGTTTGACTGGACCACCGGTGGTGACGAGAACGTCTTCGTCAAGGATGGCCATCTTGTCATCCGACCCGAGCTCACTGACTCGGCCCTCATTGAGAAGGACACCGAGATCAACCTGCTCGAGGACGGCACCTGCACGTCGGACAGGCCCTTCAACTGTATCACTGCCACCAACACAACTACGGGCAACGCCACCATTGTCCAGCCCATCAAATCTGGTCGTATCCACACCAAGGGCGGCGTTCGCATCAAGTATGGCCGTGTCGAGGTCACTGCCCGTCTTCCCAGGGGCGACTGGCTGTGGCCCGCCATCTGGATGTTGCCCGAGCGCGACACGTACGGACCCTGGCCCGCGTCCGGCGAGATTGATATCCTCGAATCCCGCGGCAACGATTGGAAGTACGAGCAGGGCGGCAATGACATTGCCGCATCAGCGCTGCACTGGGGCCCCGATCCGGCCAACGACGCCTGGTGGCGCACCAACAACAAGCGTCAGGCCCTCAAGACGACCTACGCCGACGGCTTCAACACCTTTGGCCTCGAGTGGTCCCAGAAGTACCTCTTCACCTACGTCAACAGCCGTCTGCTGCAAGTCATGTACACCAATTTTGACAAGCCCATGTGGAAGCGCGGCAACTTCCCCGAGGCCAATGCCAACGGTACCCGTCTCAATGACATTTGGTCCGAGACGGGACGCTCCAACACGCCCTTTGACCAGTACTTCTACCTCATCATCAACCTTGCAGTTGGCGGTAGCAACGGCTGGTTCGAGGACGGCAAGTCCGAGAAGCCCTGGCTCAACGGCTCTCCCAATGCGAAGAAGGACTTCTGGGAGGCCCGTGACACTTGGCTGCCCACATGGACCAAGCCCGAGCTTGAGATCAAGCACGTCAAGATCTGGCAGCAGTGCAACGGCGACGAGGAGCTCTGAGCCGCCTGGCGCGGAGCGCATGTGTGATGACATATGTGACATGTTTGGAGTACGATCAGTCGCATCTATTCCCCCCTTTTCGGGATACGTGGTGGGGGGAGGCGCGCAAACAATCTTAGACCTGGGGGTTTGGTTCATTATCGGTAGATTCACGGCGGTACATGCTGTGGCCTGCCTTTCCACGGCGACTGGCAGTCGCAGTCACGCCTTGGCCGATTTAGGGGCGTCTTGGACAATTTTGTATTTCCTGTCATTTTCTCTCCCTCTCTCTCTCGCAATTTGGTCTGTTTTGGTTCCGCGTATACCCTTGGGCCTTCACGAGGAGGAAGGGACTTGGGAGCCACGAACCGTCTGGTAGAAATCAGAAAAATAAACATGCTACTGCTACGTATGCACGTCCATGCAAAGGCGACCGGGAAAGCTGCTTGCCCGTCTGACTGATCTGTACCAGTGAGACGTCTGGTTCCACCTTATTTGGATGACACCTCACCTATCATTCGGCCCATCACCCTGCCGTCGCCACGACCGTGACACCGCCAGCCAGCCAGTCAATGGCAGGGCATGATTTCCGATGTTTGTTATCATCACACTGCCTTCACTGCAACCAGCCCCAGCCAGCCTCAGATCATCATCGATTGAGCACATCAGACCCAAAGCCTTATTTTTTGCTTGCTGATTTCAGGCCTATCGCTCGCTTCCAAGATGAAAGGAAAAAAAAAGGGCGGTCTTCAGGCAGACGTGCAGCAAGCCACCAACTTACACGCCGTCTGACTGCAGGGGACCTACCAAGCCTACCTATCTACCTGCTGCCTACCCGAACTCGCCTCCCCCAAGGTACGGGACGGATGAAGTCAGTCTCAGCGCAGCCCCCCCCCCCCCCCCCCCGTCCCGCGATAAGGACAATAATGAGACCTTGCCAAGAACGCTCTGGCACTCTTCAGCACGCAGACCGCTCAAAACTGTGCTCTATGCCGTGCCGTGCCGTGCCATTTTCTGCTATGCTATCTATCACCCTCACATCCCCATGTGTGCCTTCCCGCACGGCTGGACGGGGCTGGGCTAACGAAATCATGCCAACGCACGACAGGGGCATAAATCATGATGCCGTCTTGGTATTGTTGCCCGCCATCTGAGAGAGTGAGCCAGCCAGCCTGCGGTTCTTGGCAGCTGGAACCGAGCGTGCTTGATGAGAAGAACCACGACAAGGGAAGATAGGTTAGGCCGGCAGGCGAGCAGCCTGGCGGCTAGGTTCTGACAGACTATTCCCTCTCGCCGAACGGTGGCACCGTATCAAGCTCCCCGTGAGGCCTCTCTCCATCTCTTCCTGTCTACATCGGGGCCGGGCCGATTGAGCAAGAGGTTGGCAGGCCCATGCAAGGTCAAGGCGAGCCAAGAGAGTATCACCAAGAAAGGATCACCTCACGTCCTTGGCGGTTCCGGGCCCGTAGGACTGGGATTGGCACCGTCCCGCTCGGCTAGAAAGCTCCGCGTTGCAGGAACAAGCACGACCGTGATCGCGATGGGAGATTTGCAAAATGCATGGCTTCGCCCTGCGATGGAGATGACGTTGACGTTGACTTAGGTAAAGAGTACACAGAAAAAGCTCCTAGCGAAAAAAGCATTCAAGTACATCCCGGGGATTCAAGTGGAGCACCATGGGCTTCACGAAGCTAGAGGAGAGGCGCGGGACTCCTTTACATCCCTGCTGCGAGCCGCCGACGACATGGGAACGATACTGAAAAGTGGTTTGTTGATGAGCTTTTTTCACAGTCTCCACAACCGTCCGGCTCGAACCCGAGGCTCCGAGATCGCCAGCACCGAATCCTCCGGCCAGTGGATCTTTGCTGGTGTATCTAGCGGGGGAACGATTGCCCTGGGTCAGCTCTTGCGCTCCACCCGTCGACTTGCGTGTCTTTCTTGCCATGACCACAGCGGTGGCGCTTGGCCTTTTCCCTAAGCTCATCCATCACGTCTTCACGGCCTCAAAGACCGAGCGCTAAGGCGTGTGCACATGGTGTTACCGTTCGTGCAAGAGAGGAAAGGGGGGTTGCAGTAGAACCTGATATGCCAGTTCCAGAATGGGACGACATGCAGCAGAACTGGCGGCAATTTTGACAAGGCTTTTGTCGAGGGTTTCTCAACGAATCATCTGAAATTGCAGGTCTGATCTTGCAACCATGTACACCCTAGCAGTTGTGGGTGATGCCAGCTGCTGCTTCTCTTGCCTGCACAAGTTGCTCAGAGTGGTTTTTATGCCATCGCCAGCCACCAGAAGGCGAGGATTGAAGAGAGATGAAGGCCAGCTTTGACGTCATGGTGGTTTTACCCTGATGACTATACAGCAAGGATCATGGCACAGATGAGGCTCGAAGATTGGACTACTCGCACCTAGCTCGAGCGGAAATTATGTCGTGAAAAACCTCAGCCTGAAGAGGGCCCGATTGGTAGATGCCAATGCACACACCGTATCGTAGTCGGCACTGGTGCTCACCAAAAAGCTTGTTCCACAGTTCCAGGCCCGGGCTTCGTATGCTTCCCAGGAAACGCACCTGGTCAAGCGTACTCGATGCGATTGCACCATGTACTGCGTGTTTGTTCAAAGAAGCTGGAGGGTGGCATGGCATTCGACGGGCGCAGGCTGGCCCGTCTTCCCGTCAGGTGTGATAAGGTGCATGCACGAGGTAGAGCAACCTTGGCGGCGGCACTATTGGATGCGAGGTAGTATTCCGTCCCGAAGCGACAAGGCTGGAAGGCGTCCATGACTGTGGGATGCCAAAACGAAACAAAAAAAGCCCAATTTGACCTCGACAGGCAGGTTTGATAACAAAGAGCCGTGTTTGCGCGATTCCTGAGGGGAGCATCACTGCACCTGTGGAGGATTCCCTCCACAAGACAACTCTGCAAGGATGGCACGGAATTGCCGTGTACATGGGTAATGTGATCCGTCTTTTCAAAGGATATGGGTATTACCATCTGAGCGTTTATTTGAGGATCGGTTTGGGGAATGTCAGAAGTATGATGAGAGAAGTGGAGTGGTTGACCATTGTTGGTGGAGAGATGTGAGTACAAAGGTGCTGATCCGGATGTCTCCGCTTTCTACCCGCCCTTGGGAATACGAACTTTTGCTGCATGGACCCAGCACGAAAATAGGACCGCCACGTTGTCACAGGTGGGCCATGTACCATGTATGCCGTTAAGTTTCGTGATTCAGGTGTTCGGTCAGTAGCGTGAGCGGTCGATTTAGCAGGGCGGTCCTCTTTTTGCGCTACCTTCAAAGGAAGTGCTGAAGCGTAGACCGAGCGAAACTGGGTTGCAGATGGCGGTGGTGGAAATAAGGACGATTTTGGTCTCAGTGCTTCCAGCAGCCGAGATAGCCGCCGCTGAAGATCGTGTGAAACGCATTCCAGAGACGTGACCAAGGAAAGGGGGAATGTTTCCCAGCCGTTGAGTTTCTTTGTTGTCTTAAACGCTTGACAAGATCTGATGACGCCGGCCTATAGCATGTGCGGGTCATCTTTGTTTGAAAATAGCGCCCCGGGCTAGATCAGAGACACGAGGGGTGTCTTGTGTGAGGCCAGTCCTATTGTCCTGGTCTACTGGTCGACCCAATGACTTGGGATGCCGTGCTTGGGGAGGGTTTCTCTTCATGCAGCCTGTCAAGCTCCATGACACACCAACGCAGACACCTTGCGAGATCCAAAGCCTTGTCGGTGGATGTGAACGTGCCGCTTGATCCAGTTCACGGTGTCGCGAGTATGAGTACCGGGAGAGGACGTGCGCGCGCTGCGCACAGAAGGGGGTACACGAGAGAGTCATGTCGGTAGATCAGCAAGCTTGTACGTAGGCTGTTCGGAGACTTCTGCTGAGGAGGAGTAGGGCTGAGATAGGGGTGGTTCTCATCCAAACCGCACAAAGGGTCGGCTCACCGTTGTGCCGTGTGCCGCAAGGCAGAGGTGGAGATGATTCGAGATGACAACTTGGGACGCCATTGACTGAGAATTCAGACTACTGCTTCTGGTGGTAGGTATCAGGTAGGTAGGCTTGGTAGCAGATTCGAACAATGGCGACAACCCCGCCCGCCGGTAAGCACGGAGCGGATGGGCGGGGGCTCCCTTCTGGACGAACCCCTGTTCGCACCGCCCGACAGGCCATACCAGTTCGAAGACTCTTGCCGCTTTAAGGGCCCCGCTGGGACAGGGGGGGGGGGAGGGGCGAGGGGTGGCCCAGTGGTGGTCAAACACAAGGCCACGAGGAAAGCATGCTCTGTTGCGTTCAGGTTCCTGATGATCTCCTTCCCGACAGTGTTCCGTTTTTCGTGCTCATTCCCGTACGTACATGTACTGTAGGTCCCTACCTGGGCAGCCCCTCACTCGGTCTTGGCGGCTCGCGTACAGTACCTTACGTTCCGCATTCCTGTTCAAGGAAAGCGGGCACCCCGAAACCCCGCAAGCCTGCACCATGATGCACTTTGCACTCGCACTTGCACTGCACCTGCTCTCCGAGTGTGGCCCGTATCTGCGACGGACAACCAAGTTTGGCAGGTTTTCGTTGGTGACGGGAAATTGGGCTCTGCAATAACGAGGGGGCCGTTATCTCGACGGACGTCACCATGTCGTGTTTCCGCCTATTCTACCAAGGCTCGCCAATGCCTAGCCCGCCGACAATGCCTTAGCAGTTTGTCGACTATTGCATCCTGTTGGCGGTCATCTCGGCGTGATTACTCTGTGGTCGCAGGCGCCAATGGAA